TTAATTATTTTATAAAATTAACTTTAATATTTTGTTAATATTCATATTTATATTTCTTTTATGCTGAATGGCAACAAGTAGTTCATATTTATATTTAAATTTCTTTATGCTGAATGGCAACTAGTTCTGATTCATGATTGCTAGGTTTTGGTTTCAAAACGTTGCTCGTAGCGTCACATTTCGAAAGCTGGAAAATAAAATGCAATAAACTTAGGTACTTGTTTATAATTCATGCTGTTCCTAATCATAAATTAATTTTAAACATTAGTAGCCAAGACCACACATCTGTCCCCGGGCGCAGCATCTATGGGGCGCTAAATTGATGGTGCGAAATTTTAGAATGAAGTGTTTTTCATTCGTGGCACACAGAAAGGGGTGCAAAATGTTCAGTTGTTCCTGGTCGCTGAAAACTTTAGCTATGCTTCTGATTTTAGAAACCTATTGAAATCTCAAAATTCAGTCCCCCACCCACCCCTTTTTTTTGGCAAAGTCCAAATGACTATTATGATTCTTCAAAGAAGGTCTTGCCAAACTTTTTTCCACAGAATACTATAAATATTAAAATTTTGCATAAACCATACTTATTTCGATGCATTACTACAACAAATCACAAAATTGTGTAAAGGCCCATCCACATGAGTATGCTCACAACGTAGCTGCTGTTTTTCATTTTAGCCAGCATAAATTTGCATTATGCACAGAACACAAACCTGAGTTCATTCGCAATGTGAGCAAACAGCCAATAGCTGACTGAGTTCTTATTGTGTATCATATTAGGAAAAAAACTTCTTGTTCAATATGGCATCAGAATTACACAGCAATGAGTTTTTGTATAAGGAGATCGTAATTGTCCACAGCAATAAAATCATCAGGATTGTTTATGGCATCCTCACTTCTCTCAAACCATATATATTGGTAGAGATTTCAAATTCTCATTAAAAAGAAAAACTGTATATACATAAAGCAATGATCCAAAACAGTATACCCATATGCTTTACCTGTATGTAACAGTGTAAGCAATTGGAACCTAAATAAATTACAATTTCTATGAAATCAAATTCTCCTTAATTATTACAAATGTTCTTTACTTCATGTGTAACAAGAAGCTCTACACATATCTCAATATCAAATACATCAAAAGCTAACTTCAACAAAATAACAACTTCTAACATAAAGTGTTTGCCTGTAAAAGAATATCCAATAAAATACATCTACGAAATTTTTGAGGACAATTTACAGCCTGAGCCACACAACACTCATTTTACCTTTCCAGTGACTTCAATTTGTTCTATTATTTTTCCCGATAACTATATTCACAGATAGTTGAATGGTCAGTCAGCTGGATTAGGTTGTGAGTTTGAACACCACTGGTAACCACTGTAATTCAAAGCTTTTTCCCACTTCTGTAATTCTGGTTTATCACTAGCTTTTCTGATTTTGAAATATGTTTCTTATACTTAATCATGAATAATTTGATTCTTATTTTATTTATTATTATTATCGTTTTCAATTCTTATTTTATCTATTATTATTATTGTTTTCAATGTAGTTTAAAAATGTTCACTGTACATAGAAACCATTAATCCATTATGCAATGAAATATCTGTATCTCTTGTATAAATTATACCTTTATTTTTACCTTGTTGCATACTTTATTCCGTATATAATTTTACATAAACTGTCAAAATTTGAACCTCATTCTAAATTCAAAAAGAAAAAATACACACAAATAATAATAAAATTATTTACAAATTCATTTGGCAGCATCAAAGCCATCAATAAATTTCCAACTGATAATAAATGTACTGTTTTAGGCCTGCAAAGACATTTGGTGTCAATAAAAAACACGGTTTGATAATGAATTTAATCACTAAATGTTTGGAACAAAGACTGTACCAGAAATTACTAGAAATTATTCTAATTACTAGACCAGAAAATTTTAATATTACTTAAAATTTTCAATTATTCCCTGAATATCTTGTATCTTGAAAGAGTTGTAATTAAAAGAAAAATATTTAAAGAATTATAGACATCCAAACAAAACAATTAATAAAATAAATGCAAATGGAAGCTGTTATTCACATCTGATTTATAGGGCATAAATATTTTAACAGAGTTGTATTTTACTTTAATTACAAGCACATTAATTCAGAAATATTATTTTTAAAAATTAATATTGGAATTGATGGCCTTTCAATTTATAGAAAGAGAAGAAGTACTAAAAATTAAAATGCAATACTTTAACATTTTTACTTTTCTACATAAATGGGCATACTTACTTTTTTTTTACAGAAAAATTACATCATTTTAATCTTTTGCTGTGAATGCAATTTTCTCTATAATCCATTAAATTTTAACTTGCAAAAAATAAATTTTATTGGAGGAAATTTTTTCTTCTAATTTATATGCATAATAATATACAGAGGGAAATCAAATCATAAAATGCTTTATTTATTACACAAATTCCTTTACACATACTCCCATACCACACATAAAAAAGCAAGCCAAGGGAGAGAGGGGGAAGAACTATTAAAAAGCATGAAGTTGATTTTATTATATGGTGGATGGTGTTTCAAGTCATGTAATTCTCTATATACTATATTTCAAAACAATTTTATGAATCTTAATTTGAATAAAAACGGATTTGTGAGTATATTAACTTTAAGCTTTCTATCTTGTGTTGTTAAATTGCTTAATAAACAAAATTTCACAATAAATTGAACCAAGTGTGACATTTTTCTGACCAAACTACGAAACAGCAGATGAAACACTTTGAAATTGCAGCCTTCTATGAGTGTCACATGATTTTTTTCTCTTTGACAATTCTATTGGCAAAGCACAGACTTTGCTTGCGCCTTTGTTTGGATGACTTTTTGCCAGTGACGTGCGTTTCGTTCTGTGATTTACGTCTCTAGCATAGTCATGTGGATGCACTTTAAGTTATAATTTTCATATTTATAAAAAACCTTTTTTAACATCACAAATATTGTAATATCTTTTGTAATGCAGAGAAGTGAGAGGAAGAATGCAAAGAGTCTGGTTCAGAATGATTTAGTTTTAACTCAGCTTTATCCATATTGGTTGCTAAAACTTTCAGTTTCAAAATTTAAAATTATCATTGGCTGAAGTGTTATGTAAGTATTTGTGTCTTACATAACACTTCAGCACTATATAAAAAGCACTATACAATAGCACTATTATAAAAAGTTATGTTTTTAGGGTGAAGGGGCAAAACAAAAAAATTAAAAAGGAGACTTAAGGGAATGTGATAAGTAAAAGGAAGTTAAGAGAACGTTATAAAGTTTGTATTTAATGTTATATATTTTATTTTACATATTGGGTTGTTCATAAAGTAATTTCATTCTTTTATGCCCAAAAGCATTAGTTTTATTTCTAACCAGCCAACTTAATTCTAAACTGTATATTCAACTTTATTCTAAACTCTTATTGTCACTGTATATTTTGGCAGCTGATACATAAAGGCTATCTGTTGAAAAGTTTATTTGATTCAGTGGAATTTTTCCCTTGTTTGTTTTTTTATAGCCCATGAAATATGGAAAACCCACAACAGCATTTTTTTCATATTTTGCTTTTTTATTACTGAAAAGGTCACAATGCTGTTCAAGCAAAAAAAAAAAAAAAAAAAAAAAAAAAAAAAAGGTAAGATATGTAGGGAGAAGATGTGTTGACAGAACGAAAATGCCAAAACTGCTTCCCAAAATTATGTTCTGGCGATTTTGATACTAAAGATGTGCTGCATTATGAATTGCTAGTTGAAGCTGATAAATAAAATAAAGATATTGATTGAAGCAAATTGATGAATAACATGAGAAATCGCCAAGAGATTAAATTTGTCAAATTCAACTATTTATAACAATGTTAAATGATTTTATTTCATTTCAAAGCTTGATATATGGGTTCCATATGTTCTTAAAGAAAGAGATTTCCTCTATCGCATTGCATCTCAAATGCCAAGAAAATTATCTTTTTTCCATAATATAATGATAAACTGCTATAAATAATTATATAATATATATAAAACGTAAAATAATTTTCCTAAAAAAGTTTTTAAACAGTAAATTTAAGTCCATAACTTTTAAGAAAAATGTTTCTGGTTCTTTATAGGTATTTTGCACAGCATCTTAATAAAAACTTTTTTTTTCACTTAAATTATTTTATTGACCATGAAAATGTAGCCAAGCACAATTTATTGCCTTATGAATAAGTGTGATATCACAACACACTCATAACATCTCCATTTTCCTTTCATCGATTCTCAATAAACTACCTTTTGTTTTCATGAACAAGGATATAAGTTAACTGTTATCGCTGCACTACCCCCTTGCATTAAAAAAAAAAAAAAAAAAAAAAAAAAAAAAAAAAAGAGAGAGAGAGAGAGAGAGAGAAAGAGAGTGTGTGTGTGTGTGCGAGGTCTGGGTGAAAGAATTAACATCTATTAAAAGAGAGGAAAATAGCTGGATATGGGTGACAAAACATGTGATATACTTTATCACATGTGATAAACTGGAACTATCACATGCAGGAAATTTGATCTCTCTACACACAGTTTTTGGTAAAACTGGAGGGCCTAATAAAATAACCGATGAAAGCCTTTTTATAAAGCACACACACAAAAAAAGAAGCAGGTTGAATACTTCCACAGCAGTGCCATTTGGTGGATTATGCAGAGAGACTGATGATGTTCTACTGAAACAGATGCAGATAAGAATGTGGCTCAAAATTCTCCATGAACAGCTGGTGCAATTTTAGCGTTCACTCCGTCAACTTACATAGCTCGATGGTAGCCAACTTCCATGGTTGGCAGGATAATATTTATGTGCCTATTTTTTTTTTATTTGCTATTTAAATGTTTGACTGTTTTGTCATCTCTCCCATCCATCAAAGACCCATGCGAGTCAAAATAACTTAAGAATAGGAATTAGCACACTGAGCAGTACTATTGTATTCCAAGATTAAAAAAGACTTAAATAATATCTTACCACTCAAGCCACTCCATTCTTCATCCCATGGTAATAAAGGATCTTCAAAATCAGAACTTGTATTATCATCATCATCACTTGACTCGGATGCAATTTCAGCACTTTCAGCACGACGATACTCTTGACTATAACGAATAGGACTATCCATAGTACACGCTTCCTTACTTTCCGCAGTGAAGTCCACCTTAAATAAAGTATTCCGTTAATATCTTAAAATCAGGTGGAAATTGATATGCAAAACTCCTTCTTACTTAAAAAAAAAAAAAAAAAAAAAAGGAAGAAGAAAGAAAAAAAGAAAGAGGATAAACATAAATAGAGAATATATTATTGTCCTATATTCTGCATTTATAGTAAAATTACCTCTTTTATGATTATCAATAAATTAAAATTAAATTATACTGTATTCATCTTGCTTTAATTTTGATTAATATGACTGCAAACAAAAGCAATAGAAGAGGAACATGAAACTAAAACATCTGTGATGGTGATCATTGTACTAAACTTTTGGATACATCACACCAACTTTTTCAAAGTGAAGAATGATGAAAGAATGGATACTTAACCAAAGAAAGTAGAAAGCTCCAGGATGCTCCACTATGGGAAATCTGTAATTTTAATCTGTTGATTAAAATTCCACATATTCAGATCAGTTAGACAAGGTTCTTGAGTAGAGAAGAAAAGATGTTAATATCATAAAGAACAAATCACAAACATCTACATAATTTTCAACTAATTATTATTGCTTGTTGTCAATACAGTAACTAGATTACATGATGGTTGTCCAAACAGATTCTCTCAATCCCAGAATGCACCTTTTAGACTGTGACTCAAGTCAATACTTAGGCAAGGGCTTCCATCTAGTGGAGAGAAGGGAACAATTTCTCACATTATCCCCCCCACAAAAAACCAAAGGTACAAGGAGTAAGAGATATCCGAGTGATGATCTGAACTCTCGGTCTGGAGTGGTGACCATTGGTGCTGCACTGTTGCTCAAGCTTACAGCAGGATTAGAGTCAGAAGGTATTGTGTGAGATGAATATGGAAGACTGTATGCCAGCATTTAATAAGTGCAGAGGCAAAGAGTCTCGGCAGTAATGTCAAGGGCCAACGAAGTCAACATGTACATGGTCGAATCATAGTGTGGTGGCCAAAAAAATTTGAAGTGAGCTCTTAGTATGTCGAGAGACCTAGGATCACTGGTAATGGGTACAGGCACAACACCATAAAATAATATCCTTGGAAACTGAAGGCCTTATGAAGCATGCAAGAAAATGTTTTTTAGTAGCATTGATGCCTGGGTGTGACAGGATGCCCAGAGAGTTGAAGATCTGTCTGTGAAATTTAGGCATAACATAAGGTTTGATCTGTTTATCACCTGTACCACACAATACTTGAAAATAAGGGGTGAGTGTTAGTAGTTGAAGCTTCAGTGAACAATTAGGATCACTGAAAAGAAACTTGAGTTTGTCATCTGCCATTTGGTCAACTTCAATGGCCGCAAAATCAACAGAAGCTTCAGTATCGATTCTTCAGATGCAGGATAACGTATCTGCAAAAATGTTATCAATCATAGCAACATGCTGTAATGTCTGTCAAAAACTGACCTATGTAGCTGAGTTGGCAGAACTGTCTGGGTGAACTACAGTCTCATATTTTGGTGAAAGCAAAAACTAATGGATGATGGGACATAAAAGTTATAGCTTAACCGAGAAAAGTTTTCATGAAAAAAAAATGCAAGCAGTTGGTCACCTTTGTTGCTGATCCTTTTAAAACGGCTCTGATGGTGATGTCAGATGCATTGGTCATCAGGGACAATTCTGGCAAGATGTGTGGAAACCCACGGTTGTAGCTTGGGAGATCAGTTTCACATTTTTCAAACAGTGCAGAAATCTCTTCAGTCCAAAGGACTAGGCGCTTTTCATTTTTCTTAGAGTCCTTGAGAAATGCAACTAAGGGAGTCCGAGTATTTGCAGCTCTTTTCAACATCACAAAAAAGCATCAGAGTTGGACTACAATTTCTGTCTCGGAAAAATCAGGAAAAACTCTCTTTTTCTGATGAGAGCTGAATACTAGAAAGAGTTATTACAGAACTCAAAAATGAGACAGTGGTCTGGCCAAGCACATATTTTGCAGGTATAGTTTTAAGCCATGGCGATGTAAATGAGAGAAAACTTCATGTAACTAACTGCCTGGTGTATTTGTCCTCATCCTTGAAGGTCACTATTATATCATCCAAATAGGCCATACAACAGTCTAAACTGCTAAGACTTGGTGAATGTAACACTGGAAGGGTTGCCCAGCACTGTGTTAGCCAAAAGGCATATGGACAAATTTGAAAAGGCCAAAAGGGGTAGTTACAGAAGGGGGGACCATTTTTCAATGTCATCAGGATGAATTGAAATCTGGTCATGGGGAAGGTCAAAAGTGAAAAAGATGTCTTTGCCATAAGAAAACTGTATACAATCTTGGATGTGAGGAACCGGGCAGCAGCCGGCACAGTGACTGTATTGAAACGACCATAACTGCAAAACAGCCACACTCACCATCAGTCTTTTTGACCAGACAGCTAGCCCAAAAATATATACATAAAGCTTTTTAATATTATTTAGCATTTTATTTTATTATAATGTACAAAATTCTTGAAATACGTAGTGTATTCGGAAAGTAAGTACCGTTTCATTCTAGCGCCGTCGCAGCGCTGTGGTAGGCGTCCCCCACATGCGCACTAGTCTTTCTTGTTCACTGACTTTCAATTGTCGCCATTTTGGTTGCTCTATGTTGTGTTTTCAGTTTGCTGTTCACATTCAAAATGTAAGACAATTAGTTCTCCCGCTGACTGTGAGATTCGTGCCATGATTAAATTTTTGAACGCGAGGAATGTTAAACCGGCCGAAATTTATCGTTAAGTGACAGAAGTTAACGGTTAATACGCGATAAGTGATGGAATGGTGAGAAAGTGGGTAAGAATGTTTAATGCAGGTCAAACAAATGTCCACGCCGAGGCTCGCAGTGGTCGGCCTTCTGTTGTCACCGATGATTTGGTAAGGAAAGTTGATGAAGCAATTCATGAGAACAGATGCTTCAACAATGACAACTCTTTCAGAGGCATTTCCACAAATTTCACGTACTGTTTTGTTCGAAATTGTGTCTGAGCTTGAAATGATCGAAATGTGTTCCCGATGGCTTCCAAAAATGCTCACTGATGTTCACAAAACAAAGCGACTTGGTAGTGCCCTGACATTTCTCACGTGGTACAGTGATGAGGGAGAAAACTTTTTAAACCAAATTGTGACAAATGATGAAACTTGGGTGTGTCATTTCACACCAGAACCGAAACAACAATGGATGGAGTAGAGACACACTCATTCTCCGAAAAAACAAAAGTTCAAAGTGACAATGTCATCACAAAAAAATCATGTGCACTGTCTTCTGGGATAGGAAAGGCGTTTTGCTTACTGAATTTCTTATCAGAGGTGAAACCATTAATGCGGCACGATATTGTGAGACTTTAACAAAACTAAGGCGTGTCATTCAAAACAAACGAAGAAGAATGCTCAGTAAAGGAATTGTGTTGCTCCATGACAATGCCGGCCCCATATGCTGGTGTCACTCAATCGTTAATTCGACAGTTTCATTGGGAGCAGTTCGATCACCGCCGTACAGCCCGACTTGGCACCGTCCGACTATCACGGTTCTGCACATGAAGCTTGGTGGCAAGCGCTTGGATCTGACGACGACACGAAAAATGCTGTGAAGTCATGGTTATCGAAACTGGCGGGAAGTTTTTTTGACGACGGTATACAAAAACTGGTCACCCGCTATGACAAGGTGTTGATCATGGCGAAACCATGTTGAAAAATAGTTAAGACATGTATTTCATGTAAAAATAAATTGGATTCGAAAAAATTGTTTGCTTTTTTTTTTTTTTTTTTTTTCAAAACGGTACTTAGTTCCGAATACGCCTCGTAATTTAAGTTTCATGAATCTATGTATGCTATATTGTCATAAGTGCTATTTGAACAAACCTTTCAGGTTCTGTAATTTGTTTTGAATTAATATTGCTGATGAAATCATTAAGAAAAGAAAGGAAGGCTAATAACATTCTGAGGCACATCTCAAAATAACATCAGACATGAGAAATTCAAATTTCTGTTGCACTGCTTGCAGCATATTAGCAGACAGACACTGTAGCTTAGCAAAGACTGGCAGTCCTTTAATCTCGATAAAATGATAAACTACAGGGGGTTGAGGGTCTTTAGTGGGTTGTGAAGGGTTGCTCAGGTACAAGATACAGAGAGGGAATCTGACAGAATTTGGAGTTCTGAAGAAGAATAGCTAATTTAGATGGTATATGGTTATAATAAGAAGTTGTACCATGAGTGGTCATCTGGGTCATTTTGTTCACTAGGCAATAGTTCTGGGCATCAATTAGCAAATTTAAATGCTTTAGAAAGTTAATTCCGATGAGCAGTTACTTCAAATCAATCACAACGAAATCCCAAATCAAAAAGCATCAACCAAAAATCAACAGTGAAAAGCTTGCTACCAAAGGTAGAAATCTGGTTACCATTTATGGCATACAATTTTTTTTTTCTTAGGTTATCATAATTATTTGTATCTGAGGGACTGAAGAGTTGGGATAAGTGGTGAAATGATTCCTTACAAGTTCTATTTATAATAAAAGTGTTGTACGGTAAAGTGAAAGAGGAAACAAAAGAGTGAATAGTAGGAGACTTGGGAACAGCCAGAAAAAAAAATCTACTTAGGTGGAGCCCCTAAAAACGTCATGTAAACATTGCAAAGATCCCACCAATACTAGTTACTGCAATGCCTGCATAATAAAAGCTGAAAAGCTTGCTACCAAAGGTAGAAACGTGGTTACCATTTCTGGCATACAAAACTAGCTTGTCTGACTTTGTCGAATGAGGGATGTATCATCTAGGGAGGCCTGAAATGTTGATCCTAGAATCTATATGAAATTGCAACTTGGATTTGGTAGTTGGCCAAGAGGATGTGGTTAATAAGGCGATTGCTAACGTGGCCAACATGTGAACGCAGGTATAGTTTTTAGGCTGTTTACACAAGCAAGATTATACAGTCAAAAGTCTTTAATCCGGACTCGTCAGGACTTTGGCGATTCTGGATTATCGGTTTTTCCGGATCATAGATCATCAGTTTAAATCT